TGACGTTGCAACGTAAAGTCTGATTAGACTAGCTAAACAATTGTAGTTATACTCTGACGTTGCAACGTAAAGTCTGATTAGACTAGCTAAACAATTGTAGTTATACTCTGACGTTGCAACGTAAAGTCTGATTAGACTAGCTAAACAATTGTAGTTATATTTGTACAAAGTAAGGCGAAGAATCAAACTAGTAAATTGTTTGTTTTTACCTTTGGACTAAAGAATGAGGCAGAAAAGAGAAAAATGCAGGGGTGTAACTTACACTCTCTTTAACATGCCAGGTGAATTTCTCACGGACGTGTTTAATTTTTTGGCAACTTAAAAAATAAAGTGTTTTAGATGATCTAACAGAGACTGATTATTCCTTATTCACGTATGGTATTTTTAGTTGTATTTTACTCGCCACTAAACCTGTATAACTCAGTCAGAAGAGGTGAATCGAATGATAAATTAGGCTTCATATTTATCTTTATTCCTTATTTCATTAAACTTTTTTGGGGTATGTTTTTTTCTGATACTGAATAATTTCTTTAGCTCGTTCTTCTTCCCCTGTGCTTCGCTGCCTGTATGGCCGAGATGTTGTTGAACTTCGATGCCGAAAAGGGCAACTTCATGTACAGCACTGGAGACGAGGGCGCTCATACTCGTGACGAAATGCGCAGCGGTGATACCGTGAGCGGCAAGTACAGCTACATCGATGCCAACGGTGACCTGCGTGAAGTCCAATACACTGCTGGTCCTGAAGGCTTCAACCCCAAGGGAGACATCTCCGTAGACAAGAAGACTGCTGCTGAGGCTGAAAAAATCGCTGCTCTGGCTCCCAAAGCCCCAGAGGTCGAGCCCGTCAAGACTACCCTGCCCGTCCATCCTTTTGGCTACGCCCCTTACTACTCCCCTTACTACCATGGTCGCCACTACTATGGCCAGTACCCATTCTACAACCGTTTCCACGTCCCCCACGCTCGTAGCTATAATTATTTCTATTAAACTATTTTGAGTAAAGACCTGAAACTTGTCCATAGCATGTAACCATTTCTGGTGGTATATTTGATCATGATAGCATTCCGAAAAAATAAAACAAATGACATTGTTATAAAGATGAAATAAAACTAAATATGGGTGAACTACTGTGTTTTTCTTTGCTCAGTCTGCTTTTCAACACCGTTTCGTGTCTTATAAATTGCGTTCTTTGACTTTTTAATAAAAAAAAGCATTAGCAATCGACAGATGTAAATAATAGGGATGATGCAGTTATTTTGAATAATTTTCAAAATTAGAATAACAAAAAAAAGAAGATACAAAAACCTAAAAATACATCTAAGAGCATTAAAAGTAACCGTTACGATACCCAAACCTAATTCCCCTATATTTAGTGCCCAAAACCTCATGCCCCTATTTTATAATTTGTATACACTCAGTTTTAAAGCATGGATACAATACGTGTCACTTTGTTGTTCTTCTTATTATTTTTTATTAACATATCTCTCAAAGACATATTTTATTAGGCAAAAAATATTAATAATTTATTTAGAAGGAATTTACAATACAATTTAGAAGGAATTTACAATACAATTTAGAAGGAATTTACAATACAATTTAGAAGGAATTCATTATTATACACCGCTGTGGAGACGCTCACATTTTATGTGACCTAGCGGTTAACGTGTTGGACTGAGGATCGAAAGGTCCAGAGCCTGAGACGTCATTCCACTTAACACACTCAACTGTGTACAAAGAGCTGGCTGGACATAGCCTTTGTGTGCTGTTAGCTGGCTTCGTTCCCTTTGGGGTTTCTGACATTTACGTTTAGCTTCCGAATACAGAGGTGGCGTTCATGTTTACACTTCCAATTTCTTTTAAATTTAACACGTAAGAAATATTATAAACGTTGATGAAAATACTTCTTTTTTTGTGGATGAGCCATAAGGATAAACTTACATTTGCTGATGTCACAACAATGTTTTTCGACATAATGTTTTTAAATAATGAATGTTATATTTCAGAATTAAACTTACCAATTTTAATATTGCCTTTCTGAATTACTCAACTCAGATTCTAGATATAATAAATAATCATTAGCATCCTCGTTGTTATTTCTCATTCGGTCCTGCTTAGAAGGTCATCTGGTTCTTCAACACTGGGTTGCAACATACAAAAGTTTTGGTTAAAATAAAATAGACTTAAGTTATTTAATTGAAGACCTATGTCCCTAAAACCAGAAATTTTTTAAGTTTTTTTGTGCCTTGAAAATGTGATGAAATATTTTCATGAGGCTAGAGAAAACAAAATTAATACGAAGTCTTACAATGCTATTCTTTAATCTCTTTTAAGGTTTGAATAACTTATAATTTAATTATTTACAAAGTAAAGTATTCTTGATATGAGACCAATGTTTAGTTTTACTACAAATGCAGCATAGTGTTTGAATATTTTATCTCTCGAAACTAAAACGTTTAGATTAGGCTTAACATTTGGGATAAAAATTGCGTGTAGTGCAAATATTTCTCCCCAGTCCTCTTAATTTGTCCAATTTCGATTCAAGATCAAATATGTGTAAAAATAGCTCACTGGGAGACAAAAGATAAGTCTAATTTTTATCATAAGCGAACAGACATGCGTCATTCTTATGCGCACTGATAATCCTCAGGTAAGACAGGATCCTCTAACTGTTTTATTGCCTCCTCCCTGAAAATATTTCAGGCTGTGACAAATCCACTCACATACACATGCACAAAGCAATGGCAAATTACTGTACATACTCTAATGTTTGTGTTATTGCAATATTATTTCTGATCTCGCGATCCCTTACAATAACCTTGCGACCCTGTTTTGTATCGAGACCCCAATTTTGAGAAATGCTGAGGTGATAATAGTAACCATACGAAATGAGCATGTTATCAATTTGGAGAGATATATCTTAAGCAGCAGTATGTCTAAAGAGAATCTGGTATTTACCGATAGAACCAATCAATA